TTTCAGTTAAGGCTTGTCTCATTTTCCCAGCTGTTAACACTCCTTCTTTCCTCCCATATCCCCAAAGAAATTTGTGGGATTTTTCTTCACCCACTTCTCTCCTTTCTCTGTCCTTTTCATAGTTATGAACACATTTAATTCTCTCATGGCAAAGAAAAGACATATGAATGGGGGGAGTGGGGGGATGCTTTTGGTTTTGCCTTTGTGTTTCTAGTGCCAAGCAACCTGTAGATATGTTTAAAAACTCAATCCAATTCAGCAACATTTGTTAGGCACTTAATACATGATGGATACTTTACTAGATCCTGGGTATACAAATGAAACAATGAAACCTACCCTCACATAGATTACATGCTATAAAGGAAGGTAACACATACATAGATAAGTAAAGACAAAATATATGTATATACAACATATATAAGAAATATGTATTACAAAGGATTTTTTTTGAGAGGTAACACTATCATCTAATAAGATCAGGAAAGGCTTCATTTAAAATGTGGCTCTGAAACTAAGCTTTGAAAGAAGCAGAGATTTTAATAGAAGTGAATAGGGAGTGAACACTAGGCATGAGGGGCAGACTGGGCAAATAGCATGAACACAGAAAATGGTGTGCTGTGTAAGGAGTATAGAATGCATAATAATCTTGGAAAGGTAGATTGGAAAAAGGTTGTGAAAGGCTTCAAATGCTAAATAGAGAAGTTTGTATTTAGAGCCAAAGATAATTGGAAACCACTGGAGTCTGTTGAATAGGTCAAATCTGTTTTAGGAATACAACTTTGGCAATAGTGTGAAAGATAAGAGGAGAGACTGGAGGCTGGGAGATTAATTAAGAGTCTGTTGTGGGAGAAGATTCTGGGAAGATGGCAGGATAAAGCAGGAAATTACCTGGCTCTCTCAAATTTCCCCACAAATAATTTAAAATAATGCCTCAAAGTGAACTTTGAGAAACAGATACAATTAAAAGTTGAGGTGAAGCAGCTGTCTGCCTAAGACAACTTGAGAAGACATTTGGAATGATCTAGGGACCGTGGTCTGGCCTGACAGAAGTACAAACACCTAATGCAATAAAATCAAGAAAATTATGAAAAAATTCAACCAACTGGAAAAAGAGATCCAAATACTTATGGAAGAAAATAACTCCTTAAAAATTAGAATTGAGCGGGCGGAAGCTAATGACTTCGTAAGACACCAAAAAAATAATAAAACCAAATCAAAAGAATGAAAAAATAAGAGAGAATGTGAAATATCTTATTAGAAAAACAACAGCTCTTGAAAACAAACTGAAGAGAGACAACATAAGTATTGTTGGAACACCTGAAAGTTATAATCAAGAAGAGTCTAGATACTACATCAAGAAATTATTAAGGAAATTTGCCTTGGAGTTTTAGAACTAGAGGACAAAATAGAAAATTGAAAAATTCCTCTGATCACCACCTGAAAGATGAAACCTTACAGTAACATTACAGCTAAGAGCTCCCAGGTCAAGGAGAAAATACTATAAGCAACTAGGAGAAAGAAACCATTTAAATACTGTGGAGCTACAATCAGGATAACACCAGATTTAGCAGCTTCTACTGCTAAACACAGTATTCCAAAGAGCAAAGGCACTGTGTTTGCAACCAAGAATAACTTACCTAACAAAGTTGAATGTAATTCTGCATGGGGAAAAATGAATATTTAATGAATTAAGGGACTTTCAGGTATATGTGAGGAAGAGACCAGAACTGAATGGAAAATTTGACCTGTAAGAATCAAGAGAAACATAAGAAGGGAAAGATTAAGAGCCAATTATAACAAATTTAATAAGGTCAAACTGTTTACTTCTTACATGGAAAAACATCTGTAACTCTTAAGAATGTTATTATTACTTGGGGACAGAAGACTTGGCGGGGCAGCTAGGTGGCGAAATGGATAGAGCACCGGCCCTGGAATCAGGAGGACCTGAGTTCAAATCTGCCGTCAGACACATAATACTTCCTAGCTGTGTGACTCTGGGCAAGTCACTTAATCCCAATTGTTTCACTAAAATAAAAAAAAATTTAAAAAAAAAGACTTGGGGTTGAGTTGAGTATGATGGGATAATCCTGAAAACAAAAATTAGATATGGAGAGGTAAAATGTAGCAAGTATCTCATGTGAACAAGGAGTGAATGGAAGAACTATTGCAGTGGAGGGGTATAGAGTTGGTAGTGCTAGAACCTTATTCTTATCAGAATTGGGTTAAAGAAGGAATAACATATACATCCAGAAGGGTATAAAAGTCTTCTTAACTTACAAAGAAATAGGAGGGTGAGGGGATAGGATAAGGGAGGGACTCTTAGAAGGGTGTGCAGATTAAGTAATAGGACTATAAGGGGATATGATAAAAGAGGGAATGTTAGAAGGGTAGGTAAATTAAGGAATAAGGGTAAGGGAAGAGGATGAGGGAGGGATTCTTAGAAGGGGGAGACTCTTAGAAGGGCTTGTGGATTAGGGAGACAGTGGTTAGAAGTAAATTAGAGTTTTAGGAGGGATAGGGTAAAAAGAGAGGGAGAGAAGAATAAACAGTGAGGAAAAATAGGATGGAGGGAAATGTACAACTAGTAATTATAACTGAATGTGAATGGGATGAATTCATCCATAAAGGGGAGGGGTGGAGGGAAGGAGGGAAGGAGACAGTTTGGAACTTAAAAGGTAACCAAAAAAATTAAATTTTTTAAAAAGTTTGTAGCATGAAGAACAAAGAAAGGTTGATTCAGGTTCCCATAGCAAATGGTGTCACGTGGATCACAGAATTTTAGAGTTGGGGGGAACCTTAGTGACTATGTAATGTAATGTATATCTGGAAAGGAATCTACATTAGGATATGGATAAAATACGATCCTGTAGTCTCTACTTGAAGACCTCAAATGAAAAGAGGGAACTTACTAACATTCAAGGCAGTCCTTTGCCCTTATGGATAACTCAGATTGTCAGAAAGCTTTTTTAAAAATCAAGAAGAAATTGGATTCTTTGAAAAATGCACGTACAAAAATTTTAAATAAAAGAGAAAAAGGAGTGGGGGAAAGGAATGTATTATAATAGTCATAACAGGAAGTGGTGAGGTCTGAACTTTGGGGCTGCCTGTGTAAGTGGAGAGAAGACACAAATGTGAGAGATGTTTTGAAAGTTGAATCAATTACACTCAGGGTGGGAATGTGAACAGTTGAGGGTAGTGCAAATTATTTTAAATAGTTAAGTAGATAATTCAAGAACTAACCCTTACTTTTCCTTCAACAGCATTACTAGGATTCAAAAGCTAATTTTGATCAGAATTATCCAGGTGACTGCCTTCATCCACCAGCTCACTTTGCTTTTTAAAATAAACAGGCCTGGTTTTTCTTTGAGTCTTTTTTTTCTATTCACTGATATTTACTGCATGAGAGCTGAGAAGTGGGGAGGTTTTTATGGAACTGACAACAGTTATTTCTGAGATCCTTGACAAGTTCTTGTACATAAGGGAGATATTTTAGTCACTGACAGCATTCCAGTTAGCCCTCAAATAATTACTTAAAATAAAAAGCTAGGAGAGTTAACCTTTTTTGAGTCAGTCCACTATCCTACTGGTGATTCTGGTGATGATTTGTACAATTGTGAGGCTGGGGAGACTTCCAAAGTTCAACTCTTATTCATTCCTTTGCCTGCAAGTGAAATGTTGCATTGAAAGGGATTGCCAATTTTTGTTTCTATTTTAGTGACTAGCAGTATATTAGCATGATAAAAGCCCAGTATTTAATACTTAGCCCTTTCAGTTCCTTCATTGTCTGCTGAGTTTCAGCTTAAAGCTATAAAGCAATGGTTCCTTTGAAAACTATTTTAATAGAAATGGATGGAGTTGGAAGATGAAAAGCAAGTAAAACCATACTGACAGTTCATAACCAAGAGGTGAGACTTACAGGATATTAACTAATCCAAATCAACCCACGTGATGAATTTCTAATAGGCAATATCAATCCCATTGGTTCTCACATCCTAAAATATTTCATTAGAACCACTTCATCACACCTTCTATTTTGCAAAGATAAGTACCTTAAATAAGAAAAGTGCCTAATCCTAGATGACAGCAAAGGACTTTTTTTTTTATTACTGCTATATAAATTTTAAAATGGCTTTGGCTTAGTGGGGGAGTGACAGAGGAAAGGTCACATGGTAGCAAGAAAGAAGTGTTGAATTCAAAATGAGAGCAACACCGAGGAAGCATTGTGGCCAGTTGTCTTTCTGGGACCAGACATTGAGTCCACTCACGTGGCACCAGGAGGTCGATAACACAGGTAAGAAATAGCCAGAGATCATTGCAAGTAGTAAGACAGCCAATACCAACAAAACACCAGTGATGGGAGCTTCCATGGTCACTGTTACTCTTTTGTCTCTTGGGTAAAATACAAATTCTTCTTGTTGGCATTTAAAGTCCCTTACCAAATGCCTTCAACCTATATTTCTAGGCTATTTATTTCTTTGTATGAATTCTCTGCTCCAGGCACACAGCATTACATCTCCTACCTTAATGTCATTTTATACGTTTTCCCCTGTTCTTAGAATGCTCTCCACCTTCATTTCTTGCTCTTGGAACCCCTAGCTCCCTTCAAAACTGATCTCAAGTGCCACCTTCATCAAGAGAATATTCCTCAGTCTCCCAATTGTTAGTTACTCTTTTGCCAAATCACTGAATGTTCCTTTCCTACATATCCACTGTTTGGTCATCTTTGAACATGTTATACCATAGGAATAGAAAAGATGATCCCTGAAGCCAAGAACTTCCCCATTCTTCTGTCTATATCCCCAATACATAGTACCTGGTAGATAGCTTGTTAATTAATTGATTCCTCTTAGAAGCTAGATCAATCTCATCAAACAAGTTCATAAGCACAGTAAAAGTTTAATTGTTAAATGTTAACCACATTTCTTTAAAATTCCAACATGCTTTGTGAATTGTATTTGACAATAGAAACAATAGAATATAAACAAAGGTGTACAATAAGATTCATGGCAATAATTCCACTTGAACAGTGTTTGATAGGCAACGTTATAAAAGTCTATATATCTGTTGTATAGTGTCCACAGCATCATTACATGGCATATTCTGAAACAATACCACATTTTATAATTTCATAATAATGCCAGCCATTAAAAATTTGTTTGTTTTTTTTACGGGTATGGTGCAGCAGCCCCAAAACATTCTCCAGGATTGTTATAATTTCCCAACGATCACTCCTGCTAGTTAAGAAGTGGTACTGATTTGCAAGGGCTTTCATTAGCATCCCCTAGATAAATACTAGGAATTCAGCTAATTTGAAAAGTTGATCTACTGGCTAAAGAAAGTTTTAAAGCAGCAGCACCACTCCATATTATACTGTGGGTTTCTCATATTGCATTTTCCTGAGTTCAACTTGTTAAAAAAAAAAAACAATGGCCATGTAAACCATTGGTAGGAATGACTTGATCCCATTTTCTGTCTTTACTGGTGATAGTAGTAATCTTGACCTCCATAGCCATTGTACGCATGCCCTTTGTAGTAGCTGTATTCATCCTCATACACTCTGTAATTGTCACCACGAGGTTCTGCATTCTCATTTTCATAGACTTCATACCCATTATCATATTCATTAGTGACTGGTTCTTCATATCCGCCATCATAGAGATTGCTAGTGCTTTCCTCATACGGAAGAGGAGTAACCCCATGGTCCCCTTTTGAAAGGGTAGTGGACTCATACCTGCCATTTGGAAAGGTTGTCACTTCAGTGCTGTTGCTGGCCTCTTCTTCATTTTCCGTGGCTTCAGTGCCATTTTCTACTTCTTCTTCTTCTTCTTCCTCTTCTCCCTCCTCTGTCCCACTGGTCCCATTTCCATTTTCTCCTTCAGCATTTTCATGGTTGGTGCCATTACCTCCCTCTTTATTTTCATCTACTTCAGCTTCACTTTCTTCATTTTCCTCTTCCTCCTCCTCCTCCTCCTCCTCCTCTTCTTCATCACTTTCTTCCTTTTTTGTAACTTTCTTATTTTTACTGTCTTCTTCCTATCATGAATATTTAGAAAGTATTCAGTTAAATATCTATTTAAAAACAACTAAGAATATTTCTGTTTTTTCAGTGCTTTTCTGTGTGGGCTACGCCATTTCAAACTTCATTTTTAACTAGACAACTTTAGCTTTCAAAAGACTTGCTGTGGATATGAAAAAGATTCAGAACAAGTAGGAAAAAGGAGTGTTTCTCTAACAGACCTTCTCTTTGATAGGATCATTTTTAAAGTAAGGAAACATTTTTATGGTATTCAGGATTCTGAATTTATAAGAATCGTAATATACTGTCAGGGAGCTCTATTTTGCTTTTTTAATACTCTTCTACCTGGGTGTTAAATTGAAATCCTAGGAATGGAGACATAGCTTGGGATGACGGAGTTTAATTTTTCGTGATAGAGGTTGAGGAAAAGTCTCCTTTTTCACAGGTGAATTGATTTACTGTAGTTAAGGAAGTTGATATTTTAATCGGGATCTACCATTTCTTTAGTAGAAGGAACTCCTGATAAAGAAATTCCCTCCATCAAAGCTATCTCTAACTTACCTTCTTAAAGTTACTTCGAGGCATTGAGTGATTAGGTGACTTGCTGAGGGTCACAGAATCAGGATCAGATCTTGACTCTAAATGTGCCTATCTCCAAAACCAACTTGCTGCACCACTACAACACTCTGTTCTCTAAATTGATAATTATAGATCTGTGAATTGAGTAGCAGTACCAGAGATTCTCAATCTTAGTGCTTTATCCACTAAACTCCCATAATAATTTTTTTTGAGGCAATAGGGGTTAAATGACTTGCGCAGTGTCACACCGTTAGTGAGTGTCTGAAGCCAGATTTGAGCTCATATATTCCCAACTCCAGGGCTGGTGCTCTATTCACTGTACCACCTAGCCATAACCACCTCCTCTTAAATGAGCTCCAATGATTCCCTATTACTTCCAAGATCAATCATAAACTTTTCTGTTTGGTAATTGAAACTCTTCATAACTTTATTCTTTCCTCATTTTCCAGTCTTACACTTTGTTCCCCTCCATAATTCTCCTGATCTAGCTGCACCAATTTCTTTGCAATTCTTCTGATGATCCCATATATGTCTGGAATTCTCTCCTTCATCTCTACTACCATCCTTCTCTGGTTTTCTTTAAAACTCAACTCAAAGGGAAGCTAGGTGGTGCAGTGGATAGAGCACCGGCCCTGAAGTCAGGAGGACCTGAGTTCAAATCCAGCCTCAGACACGTAACACTTACTAGCTGTGTGACCCTGGGCAGTCACTTAACCCGATTGCTTAGCCAAAACCAAAAACCAAAACAAAACTCAACTCAAGCTCTACCAATTGCCTTCTTCAGGCTCCAATGGACTTAGTCATTTGCAAGTTATCTCCCCTTATAATGTAAGCTCCTGGAAGGAAAGGACTATTCTTGCCTTTCTTTATATTCCCAGTCCCTAGCTCAGTGCCTGGCACACAGTAGACACTTAATAAATGCTTTTTGCCAGCCTACCTGGCTACTGAAATATCTAGCTTATTTGAGAGGCAGTAGGAGATCCAGTCTCAGAGTTTAATAGTTACCCATATACCCACTGGGAATTCCCTACATCAGCGATTCTTAAAGTGTGGTCTGCAGATCTCTGGGTGTCCCTGCAACCTTTTAGAGGTCTTCAAGATAAAAACAAATTCTGCAATAATATTAAGACATTATTTGCCCTACTAAAAAAACTCCTTCTTTTCCTAATTGTGGGGACTGGATTTTCTTCACATACTTCAATCCAAAATAATACATTGCTTCAGACTGAATGCAGAAGCAGATATAAGAATCCAGTTGTCTTCTATTAATAGACATTGAAGAAATGTGGGGAAAAAATAATAAAACAATGCCACTATTCTCATGAAAAGTTTTTGGGAAATATGATTATTTTAAAATAAAAATGTTATTTATATTAACATGTAATATGTTCATTATTATTTTTAAATGAATGAACAACTTTTAAACATTGTCCATTTAATTGCAAATATGGTAAATATCAATTACATATGTGCCACATAAACAAAAGCACTTTGCAGTCTTCAATAATTTTTAGGAGTGGAAAGGAGTCCTGAGAGCAAAACTTTTGATAACTGCTGCCCTACATCAATGAAATCAAAATCTGGGGTTATCTATATCTATATGTCTATCTATATCTATCCATGTGGATATGTTCACAAACTTGGATATATAGGTATATACGTGTGTATATACTTTTGTGTATATGTATTGTATATATACATATATATATATACACACACACACAACATTTATATGACAAGTTCTTGATTTTTTTTCCTGTATTCTACTTGAAGGAGAAAGAAAGAAATCCAAAAGCAATAAGCTGTTATTATGGATTTTGAAAAATAAAAAACAACTTCCAGAATAATTATCAGCTATGGTATGCTTGTGATTCCCTGTCATGCCTTCTCCCCAATCTCTACCATTCAATAGCATCCTTCAAAATCCAGTTTAAATGTTACCTTTTCATGAAGCTTTCCCTGGTCTCCAAAGCCAGAAGTAATCATAGAAATCATATAATGTCCCCAATTTTAAAGATAAGTAAACTGAGTCCAAGAGCTGTTAAGAAGTAGAACTAGTATTCAAACCTGTGACCTTTTAATCTTACCTGTTAAATTATAAGGTTGTCAAAAGCAGGGATTGTGTTTTATTTATCTGTGCGCATGTGTGTGTGTGTATCTCCTAAATGAATAGAGGAATAAAAGGTTTAAATAAATAATAATTAAATAATAAAAGTCAGGAGACCTGGATTCAAATCTCATTCTTAGTATCTGTGTGACATTGGGCAAATGACTTAACCTCCTTCTGACTTGATGTCAGACTTGGTACCCTCATCTGGTCTAAATGACCACTAGCTTCTAGCTCTATGTCTATAATCTTATGTCTATAACTTTAGTACTGAATAATCAGTGGTAATCAGAATGCTGACAAATCAACTGAGAAAGATGCAGTTTTGTTCAAAAAGCTCTACTGAATAAGAGAGGAAAACTCTCTCTCATATACGTACATAAACATACATATATATATATGTGTGTGTGTGTGTGTATGTGTGTAAGAGTTTGATTAAAGGGAGTTTTATGGATAACAACTTATTAGTTAAATAAGATTTATAGGATATGAACAAGAGTCACACAGTATGGACAAGGTAAGGAGGGCACTGTTGCCATTATTGCCCCTATTGATGATACCACAAATCCAATCTACTATTACATTTTTAGTTAACTAGAACATTCTGTTACCTAGTTATTCAAGCATTCTAGCTAATTGAAGTTTTAGTCTATATGCTTATTTCAAAGGACACATTAGAAGTGTTCATAGCTCTTTCAACTACAGACAATAGAAGAAATGCACTATCTCATGGCAGAGGGACAACGAGGTCATGTTAACTTAGGGTAAAATGCAATTGTCACCTTCTTTGGCATTTGGATTGCTGCTAACCCCACATCCCCGCTTGCAGTGGTATTGTCCTCTCCATATCCAGCTGTAAAAGCAGATACAGTGGTGGATTCTTCACTTCCGTTAGATTCTGTTTCCTCTTCTTCGTTTGAAGTCTCCTGGTAGGAAAGCCCACGACAAACATTTTGTTTTAGCAAATAAAAAGTAAACCAGGCTTCAAATCTTGTCACAAACTAGCAGAGAACTGAGCTTTCGGTCTATCATCCTTTACTAGTATGGTCTTTCAACTTCTAATACCCTTCTCTCTCCCTTAGCTATGCTGAGTCCCTCTCCTTTTATAAACTTAGCTCAAAATCTATTTTGTTCCAGAAAATACCTACATTTTATACACCTAGTAACTGAGGGATCTAATTTGCTCTCACTGCAATGTGTGTATTATTTCTATTTATTCAATTTATTTTCTTCTTTCTTGATGAAAACTGTATAATACATCATGGAATCCATGGACTCTAGATAACTCTTTGCTGTTGATAGGGAATCTTTTCCTCTTAGATGGCTGTATGATTTAGGTCTCGATGAACTGACTGTATAACATTTAGGGGTTTTTCTTCAATAGGTGAGTTTTAACTTAAATACATCCCCAGAAAACACAGCTTACACTTTTATAAGATATTAAGTTTTTGAAAGCATTTGTCTCACAATAACTCTCTGAGGTATAGAGTCATATGGCCAGGTCTTTGTTATAGGAATAATCATGGAATGTATGGTATTATATAATTTTGCAGCTAGAAAGAATTTATATAATAAAATTCACAACAAAAACTACAGATTTGAGTGGGCAGCATTTTTTCTGCCATTCAATCGGTTTTTGTATCTGGGTAGTTTGGAGGTAATTATGGTACTGAAGATGCCAACCTTGAGGTAGAAGCAAAGATCACAATAATTATGGCCCTTACAATTTTTGTAGCACTTTTTACAGGAAAGCAAATGCTGGTCCATATTTTTTAGTGACCAACAGCTGAGTAGTATATAAAGAATGCTTAAATACACAATTCTATTCTTTTAAAAATTTTTTTTTATTTTTAAGCAATTGAGGTTAAGTGATTTGCCCAGGTCACACAGCTAGGAAGTGTGTTTGCTTTGAGGCCGGATTTGAACTCAGGTCCTCCTGACTTCAGGGCCGGTGCTCTATCCACTGCGGCACCTCGCTGCCTCTATACAATTCTATTCTTGAAGAAATTATTCATGACATATATTGTGAAACTTTTGTGTATGCTATAAGTCTTTAACATCTTTCAATTCTTATTTCTGATTCATATTTTCTAATTAAAAAAATCCTCACCCATTCCTAATTTTCTTTTTATAAGGTACACTCTCTCTTTAAGGCCGTTTGAAAAAAGTGGCAGCTAATAATGAAAAGAGCAGAAAAAAGTATTTTGTACAAAGATTTGCACTTATTGTCAAAGCTTCGATGAACATTGTGATACCTGATAGGAATAGAAAACAAACTTTGTTTTATATAAACTATTAATTATCTGCATTTGGAAATACAACTTCCAAATGGGATTTTGGAAAGAAAAATGGTCTGCAGTATACTTTGAGACTTCAGATCTCTTTAACAACAAGGTGGAGTAATGCCTCACATGTGTGGGAACAATTTGGCATTATAAAGACGGAGGAGAAATCTTTTTTATTTATTTTTAGAAATTAGAGAAATGTGAATATGTAGAAAAACAATTTCAAGGGCACCAAAAACAGAGACTCCTGTATTGAAGACTTCAGAGCTTCAAAATATGGTGGCATGATGTCTAATTTGCATATACATTTATGACTATAGGGAGTAAAATTAAGAAAATGGGAAATCATATACATACATATTTGGAAACTGACATGTGGTTAAAAGGGATTATTGATTTCATGGGGAAAATTTAGGTTCTTTTAAAGTAAAAGTCAAGTCAGTGAGAGTCAGGAGGCTTTCATATAAACTATTGAACATGATAGAAGTCCCTGGGGCTTCATAATGGGAGAGGAGGAGGAGCCTGAGAGGAGTTGAAGGGAGGGGAGGAGGGTGAAAAGTTGCTCTATTGGAGTTATAGCAATTAGAAACAGTCAGAAGAGAGGAAGCAATTGCTGATTGGTCAGAGAGAACTAATGTGATTGGCCAGGAGTTCAGATCCAGTTATTACCCTTTAGTGCCGCCTACAGTTTGAGAAAGGTAATGCCTTTCATGAGGGTTTGTTCATCTCTGCTGCCCTCTCTGGCTTGAGCAAAAAATGCAGAAAGGGTTTTTACAAATTCTGGTTTAAAGAGTAAGCCCTAATTCTGTTGCTGGGAGCTCCATTCTGATTGGACAGTGTAGCATCTGAATAAGTGCATAACCATCTGGTCTGCCCTGTAGACACCAAACATAACCAGTTTGATGGCATTTATAATTCTTTGGTAAAGAGAACTGCAGTTCACATTTTGAGCTAACATTTTCTAAATGTCCCTTGAAGAGTGTGGATTAAATGAAAAAGCCTATAAAAAGTATTTTCCCAGTTGAAAAGTGGTTAGGGTCAACATCCAGGCTTGGGACTTAGTCTAAGCACTGGAGTTTTCTTCTTTTATCTGTTTCTCTGCCATGTTTCCATAGGTACATGTCCATTCTTTTCTATAGCTTTTATATGTATTTTGTGGTGTATTTGGTGTAATACATTAGTATCTATAACATTTATTTTGCCTAATTAAATAAATCACTCTTTTAAAATCTAAAGGTGCCATTATTTTGAATGGTTGATTATATAAACATTACACAAAATGTGTATACATTGCCTTGTGAGTGGTCAGATGTGTATGATAAAACATAGTGGTTGAACTCTTAAGAGCTAAAGTGGTAAATAGGGGAAGCATATTTCTCCTCAACACATACCACAGGACTCTGGGAGAATATGAATGTAGCCACTTAGGGGTGATTTATCTCTGGGATTAAATCTGTTTATGTGAGAACAATTTGGTGGAGTGAGTTAAATCCAGGGTGCCTCACAAACCAGGTTGAGATGCATGAGGCCCCAAGTGTGACACTCTAGGTGTATTTATACCCAATTTTGTGACTAGACTCTCCACCTGTAGTATCACATTTAAGGTTTCATATTATGGTAATATTGGAATAGGGAACTATATCCCATTAGTGGTGTTATGCTTTGAAGTCACTGAGAATTAAATGTTTATTGATTGACTTAGAGGGTCATATTAAGTAAGATCTTCCAATATGGTAGATAGTGATAGACTGCATTTATTTTCATAATGATCTTTTTTGAAAATACTGTGAGCACTACTTTACAAGATGATCTCCACTCCACTCCCTTTTTCCTTTGGCCACATAATAAAACAAACTCCATCAACTCCCTTTTTTGCCTCCTGTAAATCTGTGAACCAACCTTCCATTTAGCTGTACCATCCTTCGGTCTTTGAGTTTTGTTTATGACAGGTATGTAAAGATTGTTATGATTTCTTTCCTTCAGATCTATATCCCTTCTCTGATCATTTGGCAAATATCTTACATTTTGAGTACCAACAACTGAGTTAATGTTAGAGATGGTCTGAAGACCTTGTGATTCTTAGCATCCTTTGGTTCATTGATGGTCAATCTGCCATAGCTATGGCCTAAGTTTAAAGGAGGGTGCACAGGGCTAAGGGCCATTTGTATTTTTCCTTTGTTTAAGGGGGTCTGTTGCTAAAAAACTTATCATCAAATTCCTAGCCTATTGGTGATGAACCTGTCTTTTTTTAGCTAAGATGACCCTTAGAAAAATGTCTCAGCCTCCTTCTGGGAAGGGTATGTGAATCTTTTCCAGTATCATTACTGTAACCTTCCAGAACTTGAAGTCTGCAGGTATAGACTTCTAGCATAGGACACTGGCCAGCACATTGTTGTGGAGTCAAAGAATCTGGGTTCAATTCTTCCTCCCTAAAATGAAGGAGTTGGACAAGACGGCATCTGAGGCCCCTTCCAGCTCTAGATATCTGATCTTCTGATATCCCAGTGTTACTTCCATGTCCCAATGAGGCATGGGCGGGAAGTTTTTTGGAATTTTGAAGTTTAATCATCTTATATTTACAACTCCAACAATACTGAGATGATCATTTACTCACCCTCTATCATCATGTCCTAGTTATCTAAATATAGGCTTTCAGTTGCTTTTTCATCATACTTTTAACCCTAACTCAAAAGTAGAAATACTTCAGAGCTTGTATAATAATTCCAGGTAACTTTAACTGGAAAGTTAGGGCAACGTCTGGGAAATTGTTTCAATTTTTAGCTGAATTGGGATTGAGTTACCTACCATCACTGCTCTCCAAAATAGAAAGCAGTAGGCAGTAAGTAATCCTGGGCATGGCTGTTAGTGGAGTATAGCACCTCTAGTTTCTTGTTCATTTTCATGGTGTTCTGTTTGTTTTGACATTGACCACAGAAATTACCCACCTCTTCCTCTTCCTCCTCTTCTGAACTTTCACCATCACCTTCCTCAGATGAATCACCATTGTGCTAAAATATATAAAAAGACAATCAGAGTTGTCTGCAGCTGGTCGCAAATAACACCGAACATATAGAAATATCAAATAGAGCTTTGTATTTACTAGATTGCACATATAGTCAATATAATGGTAAACTAAAATTAGAATATAGAGTTACAGAATTTTAGAAATGGAAAGGATCATAGAGATCATCAAATCTAGCTCCCTGAGGCTCAGAAATACTGTAACTTTCCTGTGGCTGACTTGGAGATAAAGCCTATAGTTAGTCCTATTTTAATGTGCCTTTAAAAAAATCAACATGAAATGATAGTTGCTTGGAATATAAAGTCACTTTTTCCACAATTAAAAAAAATCATTACTTTAACAAACATTTATTAAGTGCCTATTGTGTGCAAATCAATCTAATAAATGATGGGAAAGATAGAAATTTCAGGTAAGATATCATTTTTCCACTCGTGGAGTCTAGTAGGGGAATAAGATAGCAACATAATTAACTATAACTACAGGGTTGCTTTAAGAAATGATTACATTTAATGCATTTAAAATAGCACTTGATTTAATTTCCATTAATTGTCACCTAATCTTTCCATGTCTATTTTATTATCTGTAAGCTTTCTTCCCTCAATTCTGGCATTTTATTATTCTAAAATTCTCTGACCTCTGTTAAAAGGGAAATACACAAACATATGGTGGAGAAACAAGATTTATTAGCTTTGTATGTATTTTTTCTTCATCAAAGAATCCCTCCATAAACACAGAATGACAATCAAGATAAAAATTTTTAATTGAGTGCTATAACCATGGAAGAGTGTAGGATTTAAGGGAACCCCAAATACCATCATATTCACTTGGAAAACTGAAATCATTCAAGAAAATTTTAGTTTTTATGTGACCCAAGAAAAAATTTAAATGGGAGGGGGATATTGTTTATATTTGGTGACATTGGTTTATAATAGTTTTCACTAACTGCTAATTTCATGCTGATTACTGTGTCAAGTAGTACAAATTTTTACTTTTCCTTATTAATGGATGGTATAGATAATTAAAATGTCATCCACAAACTTCACCCTAGCCATTAATTTCAACTTCCTCCCCATTGTCTTATATTAGAAGCACTAGTAAAATATAGAACATGCCACAAGATTTTCTACGTTCTCTCTACTCTTTCCATTTAATGGTAAACATGTGAAGGGGCATTTGAAGACAGACAGCAGGAGAAAATAGAAGAAAAACCTTGAATAAATAAATTGGTGTAGTTGTTTTCTGAGTAATAGAAGATTTCCTGATTAATGATGACCTTGTGAGTTTGTAAAATCAGTTACCATATATTATCTTTAATGTATTTTTAAATTTTCCCTTGATTGAAAAATATTATCATCACCCTTGAAAAGTAGTAATGATAATTTTTAATATCAGAGACTTAATACTTCCTGCCTTCCCTATAATAGATCAAAACAAATTCTCCTTTTCTTCCTGGGACTGTCAAAAGAGGTATTGAGCAAAAGAAAAGATGTAAGAATTGAGATCCTATAAATTTTTAGCACATTTAAGCTTTAGTTATAATGAGTTAGTTTTGAGCTAGCTCTTTAAAAATGTAACCACAGAAGTATTCTCTTGCTGTTGGATCATGGAATCACAGAATTTTAGAGTTAAGAGGGAATTTAGCAGTCATCTACAAAAAAGCCATATTTCAAAAAAAATTGATACTTTAACACAGTTAAGTAATAATTGGGCTTCTGGTTTCCAGCTGACTTCCACTGAGGGGGAAACCCCTTACCTCCTGAGGTAACATGTTCCGTTTTTGTAGAGCTCTTATTGTTATTAATAGTTTTTATTGACATCAATTGCCTCTTTGCTGCCATTCTATGTTCTGGGGCCAAAATGAACAAATCTAATCCATCTTCCACATAGCAGCCCTTCAAATACTTGAAAACAGCTACTGTGTCCCTCAGGAATCTCCTCTTCTCCAGGCTGAATATGCCTCATTCCTTTTAACCAATTCTTATATGCAAGATCCTCCATCACCCTACTTGACTTCCTCTCAACACTCCATTTTTGCCACATTCTTTTCTTTTTCTTTTCTTTCTTTTTTTCATTTTTTTGGAGGCAATTGAGGTTATGTAACTTGCCCAAGGTCATATAGCTAGTGAGTGTCTGGGGCCATATTTGACCTCAGGTCCTCTTGAATCCAGGGCCAGAGATCTAATCCACTTCACCACCTAGCTGCCCTACTATGGGGCTCAGAATTGAACATGATACTCCAGATGACCTCTGATGAGGTTAGAGCACAATCCAACAGCCATGGTTTTATTCTTGGAAGCTCTCCCTCTGTTTATGGAGCCCAAGACCACGTTGGCTTTTTTTTTTTTTGGCAACATCTCACGATGCCAGCTCCCATTGAGTTTGCAGTGCATAAAATCACCTAGAGCTTTTTTTTTCCCCCCGGAGAAACTACCCTCTGACCATCTCTCCCATCCCATAATCAAGAGGTTCATTTCTTGAACTCAGGTGTAGGGCATTGATCGCTTTTGAATTTCATCTTATTAGATTCAACTCAATGGTCTTGCCTATGAGGGTATTGACTCAGTGACCCATTGTTCCCAGATCTGCTTGTCAATCAGTGTTGGGGGGAGAAGCTTCAACAGGAGCTGCAAACCCTGCTTTCTCAGCAGCCATACTCCTGACAACTGGAAAAAGAAAATTCTTACCACCCAAGTCTCTGGCACTGTCAAACGACTCAAAATCAGAAATGGATGTGTTTTTATCAGCGGAAATGGCATTTATAAAAAAAGATGCATTTCTATCTACTTTGCCACTGTACCCTAGGGACCATGGGGCACTTCTATCTGACTTGTGGCTAAGATTTCCTATGCATGTTGCCTTCCTCCATTAGAATGTGCTTTTCCTGACAGCAAGTATTGTGTTGCTTTTCCATTGGTATCTTCAGCGCCCAGCACTATGCTTCACACTTAGTGATGACTTAATAAATCTTTTTCTCCCTATAAATTTACTTTCTGTTCTAGGTGGAATTTAGTCTTTTTATATTTTCTATGTTGTTTCCATTGCAAAAAATAACAATAACAACAATGACAAAACCCTCCACAAAAGTGTAAAAACTCAAACTGTTGTGTAGAAATAATATCAGATATCATTATCACCTGTGATATTTCACAGAATCACAAAGCCTTAGAATCCTGATTTCTATTGCTAGACCATCTTCAGCTTATTAATATCATTCTAGATATTGGACATCTTCAGTTCTGTAGGTGCTACTCCATCTTTCCATCCTTCCATCCTCTTTCTTTCTTTCTGTCCCTTCCTTCTTTTCTTTCTTTCTGCCTTCCTTCCTTTCTTTCCTTCCTTTCTTCTTTCCTCCCTCCTTCCCTCTTTCTTTCCCTTCTTCCTTTCCCTTCTTCCTTCCTTCCTTTCTTTCTTTCTTTCTTTCTTTCTTTCTTTCTTTCTTTCTTTCTTTCTTTCTTTCTTTCTTTCTTTCTTTCTTTCTTTCTTTCTTTCTTTCTTTCTTTCTTTTCTTTCTTTCTTCTTTCTTCTTTCTTTCTTTCTTTCTTCCTTTCTTTCTTTCTTTCTCTCCCTCCCTCCCTCCCTTCCTTCCTTCTTTCCTTTTCCCTCTTCTTTACATCTCCAAGGTACGTTTTTATAGCAGAATATAATCCTAAGAACCCTTAGCTATCCACATTATTTCTACTTATATCTCCATAGACTACTGTGAATTTCTAGAATTATTTACCCACTTACACACACCATAAGGAGATAGTGTCCATTGGAATAGAAAAACAAAGAAAAGAAAAACAGCCCTAAATAAAAAGAATGCTAAACAATACTACAAATATCAAGATAGTCCTTTTCTAACACTATAAAAGTTAGAAATTATTCAATACAAATGTACCAAAGAAATATGTCAAAGATACCATACCAAGACCATCATTCTTCTAATGTTGACTGTGGCATAGAATAGACGCCTTGAATATAAATTACATTATAATATTTTAAAATAGTTAAATCTCAGATTATTGCTTTGTGTGTGTGGTGAGGGCAAGTATCTTTACAAAAGTATCTGGTTTCTTCTTTCAAATTTTAAAGGACATATCCCATCCCCATAGAAGAGAGGCAGTGTAGTGTACTGGATAGAGCCTTCAGGGCAGGAAGACCTGGGCTTAAATCCTGCCTCTGACGCATTTTGGTAGGGAGAAAGTCATATAACTTCTTGGCACTCCCCAGACAACTCTCTAAGGCTATAGCTGTAGTTAAGTTACTGGTTTGAATTAGCAGAGAAAATTTCCACATAAAAAGTTTCACATATTGATGAAATAATAGGTTTGGGACAAAAGGAAATAGAAGAAATTTCTATGGGAAGATGGAAACTCATCTCCATTGCTGATTTCCTATCCCTTCATAAGGGGTTCAGTTATCCTCTCCTCCCATTTCCCTCTGTCAGTACAGTACATTAAACAGTTACCCTATTGCTAGTCTTCAACATCAGTTATACTTTAATGAATAAACTAGAAAATGAAATTTGAAGTTTTCCAGGATTGCCAAGCCTCTTTTTGAGGCTTCCTGGATCAATCCTTAAGCATCGGGGTCCCTGGATCTTTCCATGGACTTGACAAGGTTTTGCCCACTGACTTTTCCCACTTTTCCCGACTCAATTCAACAAACTTTTACTAAGTGCCTAGTATGTGCTAGGTTCTGGGGATTCAGAGACAACATCCAAATTGTCTTCACTCTTGAGGAGCTGTAAACTTGCCTCAATTTTTGATGCTAAGATTTAGACCATTTGTTTATGACATTGCTGGATCAGCTGTGATAGGACCTGTTAATTCATCATATTGATCATTTCATACATGCATCGTAAAAAGCTCACTAGATTTGGAGACAGAAGACCTAGGTTCAGATTCTGGCTTTTCTATTTACCATGTGACCTTGGGCACATCACTTAACCACCCTCAGTCTCCTCACCTGTGAAATGGAAATGATACATGTTCCACCTACCTCACAGGGCTGTTGTGAGGTTTAAATGAAATGAGGGTTGTAGAAACCATGGTAATAGTAAAATACTATGCTAATGTAATTTATGTTATTATTGACTGTGTAGATCAGAATGACTAATTTCTGGCAATTCATTAATTGGGCAATCAGTCAAAACAACTGGATTTAACTTGTTGAAGACTAATTTTAAATTCTAGACATGGCATTGATGGTCTTGCTTTAAAACACAAGCTCCCTTTGCGCTTTGGTGAACCATTTAGAACACCATTGGTGGTTGGTACTTACTTTGGTTTGTTTATAAAGAATAGTAGATTCTCTACTGCCATCTGCCCTGGGTTGAGACAGTGAAAGTTTTGTATATCAAAGTAAGCTGAGGCCATATTGGATGCTGCAAGTTTTCAGAATTTCTTTGAGTAGTCACTGGTAAAAAAAATTATTTTTTGTCTATACTTTCAAATAGCTATTTAAGCATTTTGATCTTAAAACATTTATAATGGGAAAAAAGTTAGCTGAAGTAATTACCTGAACTGGAATTCGTTTTAGAGGTGGGTAAAGGTAGGAATATTTGTAAATATAATATCGATGTCTGTGATTGAAAACCTAAGGGAAAAAATGAAATTAAATGTTTATATTTAATAAATGAACAAATGAATGAAGTGGTCTTTAAATTAAATGGAAGAATGAGAGTAGTTGAATTCCATTCTGGAAATGACAAAGCTTCTTTAATGACTCCAAATTTCTACCAGAGAAAAAAATTCCCATTTTTCAATACCAATATTCTACTAATGGATGGTCATGAGTCACTTGGCCAAACATCATCTGAATAACCAAAAACATATATCCCCAGAGGGCAGCTCAAAGCGTGGGCAGGCTGCAACACATAGGAGGAAATCATGAAGAGGAAGGCAGGCAAAAGACATTATCAAACAAATGTATGCTAGAAATAGAAGATGGGCTGGTCATGCACTGGATGATTGTCTGTGTGTTCTACTGGTAGCCTCGATGTCAGAAGAAATTGAGGAAGGCTCCAGTGTGTATCTGGCACCTACCTGTGCCAAATATTTTGGGAGGACGTGGACAAGAGTCCTGATGATGAGTGGGCCTGGCAAGATTGCTACAGATGCTGTTGGAGGGAATACCCACGCTAATAAAATCACATTACAGTGAGACTTGCCATTTGAGAAGCCTATAAAAAAAGATAATATAAAAAAAATCAGTTACCCCATTTTCTTCAGAATCCTCTAATTTGGCCCTTCGATAGAAGTTTTTTACCTGGAAGGGAAAAATCAATATTAAATGTGCATATCAGTTGATCTACCTATCCTTCTGTCTGTTTTTCCATAAACAATGGATAAATTAAGAGAGCAGGAAAAGAACTTACTGAGAAAGCACAGGCTATTCCCAAAAGGCTGAGCAAAATCAGGGCACTCTTCATTTTGTTGCTTCCTGAAATTAAACAGGTTACAAATGTATTATCATTGTAAAAACAGTTTTTGTATTTCTTCCCACATCCAAGGAGGAATCTGTTCATTGGGTTTCACTTGTTTTCACTCTGCTTGAAGTTTTTTTAAAAAAATTTATTTCCAAGCATATTGGCCTCAATCAATTGGGGAATGGCTAAACAAGATATGGCATATGATTGTGATGGAATACTACTGTGCTATAAGAAAAGATGAGCTCGATGATCTTAGAAAAATATGGAAAGATTTGCATGAAATAATGAAGAATGAAATGAGCAGAACCAAGAGAACTCTATATACAGCAACAGAAATATTATTTTAAGAATGACTTTGAGTGAGTAAGTAATTTTGACTATTATAAATACCCAAATTAACTATAAAAAACATATGAAGAAAGTGGCTATCTGCATCCAGAGAAAGAACTGATAAATAAAAGTATGTATAGAATAATTTTACATAGAAATACACACACATATATATACATACATATATGTATATGTGTGTGTGTGTGTGTGTATATATATATATATATATATATATATATATATACACACCTATTTGTGTCTAATGGTAGCCATCTTTATAGTGGAGGGGAGAGGGAAGAAAAAAATTTACGTGAAAATTTTGTTGTACATTTGAAAGGAATAGTAGATTTGTAGTTTCATTTGCAATCATCTTTTTTTAATTGTACTATGCTATGGAAATGCTTTTCTTATTCCATAAATTAAAAATAAAATAAAAACAAAGAATATTGGCCTATATGTTGGCCCATATGAAAGCTAATACCACATATTCCTATGTTTAATCTTGCATTTTGTGTATGTTTACTGTGGTAGTTACTGTGGATCTGTGCACTAATGAATGCAAAATGTTTCATTTAAAAGGCTTTTGTGTACACCCAAGGAAAAATGAGTGAAGAATAGAAGGATGAGGGATTCAAGATTTAAGACCTTACTAGGTGAGGCTTTTCATTTTCACTGAGATAAAAGGTCCATTTAATCTCTATGTGTGAGCAGTTCTTGGATTGGTGCTGAGAGGAAAAATTAAGAAAATGAGATCCAATGAGATGGTGGTAAATAAAAAACTGTAATAGGAATATCTATAATATCCATAGGAAGATCTAAAACCTTTAGATTAGATATGAATACAGGAGGGCAGCAGGGAGGATATTCCATTACATACTGACGTAATGTGAATGGCAAGCTTCAAGTGCCCTCTGGTGGCATGTATGATATAGCACCCAAGCCCTTCCAGTTATCCTGACTTAGAACTGCAATAAATATTGCTTGGCGGAAGGGGAAAACAGGGATGAAAATGTGCTTTATAAACTATAACACATGGCTACTACACTAGCCCACAACTTGTTTTACTGTATTTATTTGCCCATTTGCCTTTATTTATTCTGTATATATTTATATATACAGAATTTATTTTGTATATATTTATTTATTCTGTATATATTTATATATTTTCACATCTCTCTGATAGAATTTAAGCCCCTTGAAAGAAAGGATTGCATTTTGTTTTGTTTTGTTTTGTTTTTGTTTCTATTCCCAGTGCCAACACACAGCGCATAGTTGTGCTGGGAAAAATTGAAGCCATTTGCCAAAAGCTCCCTCTTCTTCCCTGGTTCTCATGTTACCCACCTGCCTTCTGCCACAATCTCCCCCTTCACCTCTATCTCCCATAATTCCCTCTGTTGATTATTTAACATTCATCCTGTATGTAACTTATTCATACATAGTTGTTTGCATGTTGTCTCCCCTACTAGCCTGAGCTCCTTGAGGCCAGGAACTGTCTTTTACCTTTCTTTGTATTCTCAGCTCAGAGCATAGTGCCTAGATGTTCTTAATGAATTTTTATTGACTGATTATTGATTGATTGATTGATTGATGTATCTGAGCATATTAACAATACCAAAAGTTCTATGAGAAAATGTGTTCCGATGTCCTATTTGGATGCCAGAAACATATCTCTTATGTTCAATATAATCAATGACTGCCTCTTTCCTCACCTACATGAAAGTGCAAGTGGGGAAATGTTGGTGGTAACTCCAAGTTATTCATGAGCTGCTGGTGTGCATCAGTAAAGCTAGGCTCCACATCGGGAACTCCCCACCTTGATGAATGCACAGACCAAAAATTCCTATACAAACACAAAAAATTCTCCCCCAAACCAATAGGGAGCAAAAAATAAAAAGAATTCACCTCTCCCCCACCCTAGACTTTCTTTTTCATTTAGACTTTGTAGCAAAAAAAAGGTGAAGGCCAGAAGATAATAGTAGGAAGAAATGGAATAGGAACCAGGGATGCTGTGATAAACTTAATTCTATTGGGACTTGGCTTATAGCCATGGCTGCCACTTCTGCTCAGCCATTTCTAGAAGAGTGACGTTTGTGTTTGTGTGTTTATGATAGAAAAGTGGAAAAATCCATTTTCATAAATAATATCATACTTGTGCTAGGTTTGAGCTTTCAAGGAAGAGAGGCCCAGCCCTTTCTATACACTGTTGAATAATACATAATGGATGAACTCATTCATGTAGAAAGGACAGAAGTAACACAAGGGCACGTCTGCTTCCTTACCAGCTGCTGATACCCTTCTTTTCCCTTGGTTCTGGGGAGTGAAGCTGCCCATAAAACTTCTTCCAGGAAATCAGTTTTTCAAGACAAGGGCTGAGCAACAGCTGGCCTGCAGGACTTGGGGAGCTGCGGAGACTTACACTGAGGTAGACAAAGATTGCTGAATGCTACAATCTAGGACCAGCAAACTCCAGCTACCTTTGAATTCTCAAATCCTATGTACATTAGATGACGCTAAACATTTGGTTAAATAGATAAAATTGATTTGGAGTCAGGGTCTGCACTCATATTTTTACCCATAAGTCCACTTCCTCTGCTGGAAGACGGGCCTAATGTAACCAGCCCCTTTCAAGTAAACAACATTGGTTTTAATTATGAATCTAAGAAAATAAAACTAAGTAATTTTTTAGATTTTTATCTGTCTACTTTCCAACCTACTGTATAACACATTTATAAGTATTTTTTCTCTTTTAGGAACTTCTTAGTGCCAGTTCAAGATTTAAAAGTACTACTTTTAAATTAGTTTATTTAAAAGTAAAGTATTACTCATGTCAGTCAGCAAGTCAGTCAACAAATATTTTTTAAGCACCTACTATGTTCCAGGCACTACGCATAACTCTGAGGATACAAAGGAAGGCAAAAGACAGCCCCAGCTTTGAAAGGGCTTATAGTCTAATGCGGAATACAACATGCGAAAAACTGTGTAAAAGCAAGCTATATGCAGCATACATTTGAGATAACCACAGAATGAAAGGTAATCAAGAAAGTTTCCCTGTAGAAAGTAGGATTTTAGCTTGACTTGAAGAAAAACAGGACAGCCAAAAGATAGAGATGAAGAGGGAGAGCAGTCTAGGCATGGGAGCAGCCAGCAAAAATGCCCAGAGTCAAAAGAGGGGTGTTCCAGCCTCAGACACTTACTAGCTGTGTGACCTGGGCAAGTCATTTAACTTTGAGTACTTCAAAAAAAAAAAAAGATGTAATATCTTGTGTGAGAAATAGGAAGAAGGCCAGTGTCACTGGATTATAGCATATATGGTGGGGAAGAGAGTGGGAGAGGGTGAGGTAAGATGTAAGAAGACCAGAAGACAGAGAGGAATGGGGCTATGAAAAGCTTTGAATTTTATTTTATTTTTTATATTTTATATTTGATTTTGTGTTTTATATTTGATCTTGGAGGTGTCAGGGAGCTTTATTGAGTATAGAAGTGATATAATCTTAGGAAGATCACTTTATGGACTGGAGTGGGGAGACCAAGCAGAAGTTCACTGCAATAGTCCAGGCATGTGATGATGAGGGCCATGCCAGGGCAGTAGCAGTGTCAGAGGAGAGAAGGAGGCATAGCTGAGAGATGTTATGAAGGTAAAATTGACAGGCCTTAGCAATAGATTGGATATGGAGGTGGAAGGATCAGAGAGAGAAGGGTCAAAGGTGAAATCTATGTTGAAAGCCTGGGTGATGAGTGGTGGTATCCTCAACAGTAAAAGGAGAAATTATGAAGGAGTGGAACAGGGAGGTGGTGAATTCAATTTTGGACACGTTGAGTTTAAGATGTCTACAGGACATCCAGTTTGAAATGTCCAATAGGAAGTTAGAGATATGATACAGGAGGTCAGTAAAGAGGTTAGGTCTGGACAAGTGTATATGAGAACCATTAGCATATAGATGGCAACTGAATCCATGGGAACTAGAAATAGTATAGAGGGAGAAGAAAAGAGGGCCCAGGTCAGAGTCCTGATCTGGATGAAGTAGCAAAGGAGACTGAGAAGGAGCAGTCAGATAGTTGGGAGGAGACCCAGGAAAGGGTAGTGTCATAAAAAACTAGAGAGAGAAAAGAAGGATCAAAGAGAAGAGATAGGATGACAGTATGAAAGACTGCAGAGCCTTCAAGCAGAATGAGAATTGATAAAGGGCCTAATAGAAAGATTGTTGGTAACTTTGGAGAAAGCAGTTTTGGTTGAATGATGAAGTCAGAAGCCAGATTGTAGAGAATTAAGAAAAGAATGAGAGGAAAAGAAGTAGAATCACCTAATTGTAGATGGCCTTCTCAAGGAGTTTAGCCACAAAAAGGAAGAGAGAAATGGGACAATAGCTAGTGAGGATGGCTGGGTCAGGTGAGGGGTTTGGGAGCATTGAGGAGATATGGCATTTTGTAGGCAGTGGGGAAGCAAATAGGAGAAAGGAAGAGACGGAAGATAAGTGAGGGCTGAAATGATAGAGGGGGAATCTGCTGGAGGAGAGAGATGAAAGGGGGTCATTTATGCAAGTAGAAGGGTTTGCCTCACCAAAGAGAAGGGGTGAAGAAGGAGCTAGTGACAGAAGGTATCTGGGTGATGTGAGGCAAGAAAAAAGGGGAGAAAAGGGTCACATTTAACCAACCCAAATTATACCTTTGGTAGTATATCCTA